TTCATTAAACATAAATAATTACAAAGGAAATCATAAAGGAAAGACTTTTAGCGATGTATTGTTGTCTTGTCCCATCTGCCCACTTTTATTGTGGGCTAAAAGAGCCTAGATGGCGTTGCATGGAATTGAATCGCGATAACGTTTCGCTTGCGAGCATACCATAAACCCAAGCGAGCGATTATATGATTTTGAAAAGATCAATCCTACCATTACTGTGTGATAATATTAACCAAAAATTTTTAGCGAAGCTCCCTTTACGGAGCTTTTTTTTGTCACTACACAGTACACAATAACACGTAGTATAAAACAAAGTCGTCCAGCAGTCTGTCTGTCTGTCTGTCCCTTTGTAATGTATGATACACAATGTACTCTTTGATTGCAATCGTGCGAACTTGCGAAGCCGGGGCGTTTAACACTAAAGTAATAAAGTAATTAGTTAGTAAGTTATTTATATATATATATATATGATATTAACCTTTATTTTAGCTCGGTTTTCAATCCGAGCTCAAACTTTATCCTAGCGATCAAATCTAAGGCTGTGGGTTGTGATGATGTAAGTCGGGTATTAATAATCTATTTATTAGAATTCTTTCACCCTGCAGTTACGCATATTATCAATTTTTCTCTAGACTCAGGATGCTATCCGACGCTTAGGAAAAATGAGATTGTACGGCCTCTTCCTAAAGTACGCTAGCGTAGTCCTACGCTTCCTAATCACTTTCGTCCTATCTCATTTTTGCCTTACCTATCTAAAGTTCCTGTGTTCATAAGCAAGTATCTACATTTTTTCGTAAAAATCCTACTGAGTCCTTATCATCCTCGGTTTCGTCCAGGACATAGCACCACAACTGCGTTACTTAAAATCGCTGACGATGACTAGGAATACGAAGACTAGGAATGGATGTTAAAAAGGGACAGTGATTGTGATTGTCGACTTCTCTATTGTTTTTATGACCACGATATGCTCCTTTCCATTCTTGGGTTTTGCGCCTGCAGTCTTGGATTGATTCTCTTCCTATCTTCGTGGGCGTCAGCAATCGGTCCGTGCTGGGTAAGATTCATCTCAATGGGCTGGGCTTGAGTGTGGCGTGCTGCAAGGCTGTACTTTCTCCCATTATTATTACAGTCTTTATAACAATATATACTTTATAACAACAAATTATAAATCTATCACGTCTTGTATTGATTGCACGTACAGATGGTACGTGTATACCAACGACTTGCAAATCTACATCCAAACTGACGTTGACAATATCCACAACGCGATTTCTACTATAAATTTGAACTTAGATCGCATATATGATGGAACATCACGTTTTCGTGAAACGTCAGGGGGTACTTATCCCAACTGGCCAGTCCGGCAGCTGTGGTATGGTCTCCTTGCACTTCACGTTCCTTGCCGTCCCGCGAAACACACAAAGTCTATCTCGGTGGGGAAGGTAACAACGCCAATACGTCTCGGGATTAAATCGCCTTATTCCCCTGGGTAGGTCTCCATATCGTTTGTCCATCTCGTTAGCAGGATGTTGCGGAGTGCAGCGGAGCGGACGGCGTCTTCGTGTCGTCGTCGTGCACCAGCTACGTCGTTCTCCCAACGGTCCGTCGTCTGCCATCTTCCGCCGAAGCTGTCAAAGCCGCCGGGTTAACAGCAAACTACAACAAAAAAAAATATTTCGCAAACAATATGTAAATATGTTAAAGAGCACGGAAATTTGAATTCCAGTCATCCATCAAGTACTAAATATATAAAAAACGTTACTCCCAACTTACATAAGACTGAAAAGTTACGGCAAATAACATTCATAGTAATTAGAATTTCAAGGCGAATCTCATCCAATCGTTCAGTACAAAACATGGCTTCAATCGCTGCGCACGAGAACGCGCGCGAGAAATATAACTGAAACCTGACAACGGTTTTCCCGGTTTTCCGCTATCATGTAGGTCAATTCGGGCGGCAGCATATTATTATTGACTTATATACTGTGATGTCGTTGATTTGGTAAATGTACAGAATTTCTGTTTACGTCGTCAAATTAGTATATGTATAAATTTTGATATCGCCGGACTGTTATTAAAATTTTTCGTGCATTTCACCTTTCCATATTCACGTATCGTTCAAGTATTAAGCATCACGTTTAGATATCTTTGTGAAAATACGCGTTTGTATCATCGGCTGCCACAATAAACCTTTACTCATTTGTTTCTAAAGGCAAATCATTTAAAATTAGTTTTGTTCTAACACTTGTACATAAAATAGTATAAAATAAAGTGAAACAACCTTTGTTGCGTCGCAATTTAAATTATAATCAATCTGCAATTATAGTAAGTTTTTATTTTTCGCATTTATGTGTCGTGATATCCTGTTATTTGTATCCAGGCTTTTCAGTACTAGACTCCATAGAGTAAGTAACTCGTTCATCCTACGCTTCGTTCGCTACGTTCATCCCAGTAAATGTGCACATGTTGCCTATTAAAATGTGTAAAAAATTTATTAAAGAAAAACTTTATAAAAAGAGTGACTATAATATAAATGAATACATTAATGACAATAACCCCTGGAAATGAGTTGGTCGCACCCAAGCTATTACTAAAAGGAAAAAGAAATGAGTTGTATATTTTTTTTAAGAAAAAAAATGTCAAAAATGTGGATACTTATGGAGTTTCTTTCACCTGTTTCCTCTCCGAAACGTCATTACTAAAACGGTGGTAGATTTAAAAAGAAATAGACTATCGATAGATGAAAATGTAAGTTTCTTATGTCGATGAATAAATTATTTTAATTTTTATCACTGTTTACAGGGGGTTCTTTGGTCTTCTTCCATAATTGATTTAGATTGAACGGAAATTTCGGCAAAATTAAAGGACATACTTGGATATTTTTCTTTTATTCTAACTCTTATGTGACTATACTCGTATATTATAAGACTAAGCGATAAGATGCCATTGTTTTTATGTAGATTTAGTTTTTAAACTTCATCTCGGGTACGTAATTTTTTCCCAATTTTGAATTTCGGTTTCTGGATAAACATGCTTCGTCTTATAATATAATAGTACCTGGAGAACCGAGCTTTGCTTTTTTTTCTTGGTAATTCGTGTATTTTGGAAATAAAAAAAATAAAAAATAAAGAAAGCAGTGATCTGGTATAGAAAAAAAGTAAAAAAATAAATGTGTAAATTATCGTGACACGAATCGCGGCCTTCTGTTTCGGGGCCGCCCGATTGCCGATATAGCTATTATAACATTTTTTTTAATAGTCTCGGGACTGAAAGCAAAAACATCAGGTAATACACATTTTTTTTCAGCGTAATTTACCGCCGTATCCAAAGATATTTTTCATTCCCTGAAAACAGGGATAAAAGGACATTTTCTAAAAATGAAAACTAGCTATATCAATTTTTCGCCCACGAATCTACGCACATTATTAAATTTCAGTTTCCGAGATTCCGATTATATATATTGCGAATTGCTCGTTTAAACGTATTAGATTATTCTGAATCTTGTAAATGTGACTATAGCATTATTCTCATTGTAAACACGTCTATGCGTTGAATATTTTTTTATGTGAGAAAGTGGCAAACGAGCTGGCAGTTCACCTGATGTTAAGTGATAAGCGCCGCCCATGAAAATTTGCAACACCCGTAGGGTTGCAAATGCTTATATTTATATCTTGTAGAGTTATTCCTTCTGGATAGAAAGGGGATTGTTACTTTGATTACGATTGTTGTTTACTTTTACTGCCATTGCCCGCCTCCGAAGCCACTTTACTAGTAAAGTCTGATTAAGATGTTTCAACGCATATCTTGTTAACATAGCAGTTTGTTCCCTCTTTTGGAGGAGATAGTCAAAACAAAACTATTCAAAAAATCAAAAACCTAACGCAGTAATTCTTTACGGCATGGTATTCGTATGCAACATAATAAGTTGCCACATTAATATTTTATCTTTTGAAAGTATATTATAAAAATAATATTCAGATACTTCAGTGTACAGTCAGAGGTTGTCAATAAGATATTTTTATTTATAAACGTTGCGTACTTGATTTAAATAACAATGTATTTTAAGAAAAGTTAATTAGATGTTCTTTCAAGGACGGATACCCATGTCAACCTAGGAAATAAGAGATGACTACGTCACATTCATTCCTCATCCTAAGGAATTGTGCCTGACAGTCCTATTTTAAAAGATAATGAAATGACTTCTTTTTTTTATATTCTGAGTATTCCTCATACAGAAATGATAACTTAAAGTATCGAGACAATTATTTCATTTATTTTTGATTTAAAATTTATATTTAATATAGAAAATTTATTTGAAACATTGTGGTGTAGACCAATTAATTTGAGTTAAAAGTAGGTAAAGTTGCAATGATAGCGTACGACTAAACTATTTCATTTTATGGTCCTAAAAAATTTACTTATTTGTAATCACATTGATACGAACAGAACTGGAAAAACATCCAAGGCAAGATACCAGATTTAGGAAAACGTCAAAATTTTAAGCAAAAACAGTCGTGATTGTTCGACATACATTAGTTTTATATATAACAGATTTAACCGCGTTTAAATAAGATATGAATTTCATAAAATTAACGAGGTAATAGTCACTTTTGATGTTCTCAACATTCTAGGAGTCCGTGATCACGAAACAGAAAGAGATGTATTGTTGATGTGATTCATTTATTAGATTGGTGAAAACAAAACAGTTAGCAGTAAGAAGACAGATGATCTATCGATGCGATTAATTTCTAGGGGTGCATCGTTAACGTCCTACACGTGACTGATACAAATACAAACGTCTCGGATTTAGTTTAGTCGACCTCAGCGCACCGTCTTGGTAGGACGTTTATTTTTAAACGGACGCAGATTGAGAAAGTAAACGATCGTGATATGAATAAATAAAGTATAATAAAGCTGTAGATGACCGCATTTCCTTTGATTACATTTCTTACGACGTTTGTTTAAAAAATACATTGACGTTAATAAACGAAGCGTGTAAAGACATGGAAGTAGATAGGATTCTGTACATTTTCGGAAGCTTCACGCGTAAGAAGCAAGACAGGAGGAAATCGCTAGAGCCTTCCTCGATAAGCGCCGGGAACAGCCCTTTGCACGCGCAAAAGCCTTCGAGGCCTGCCAGCCAAAGTCATAGCCTTTGCGTCAGGACACGCATGTCCGGCTGCACCGAAGGCAGGAAAAGCAGGCTAAAGGATTGGGAGTGCGCTCTCTGCAAGAAGGAGTTGGTGGAGCCGAGGCTGCTCGGCTGTCTGCACAGCTTCTGCACCAGATGTCTGCAAGGCCTTCAACGGGAAGAGTGCGATGAGTGGAACGAGTTGGAAGACGGTAAGTAAAAATAACCTCTTTAACATTTTGATGGGTTCTATTTTTTAATCATGTTTAATCAATGATAATACTAAGACTATTATCGAAAGACATTTAATAAGGGCGAGATAAAATCTGTGAAATGAATTTAAGGCGTACAGCAAATTTTGTACCTAAACTTTTGATACGCCTAAAATGTATTCAAATCTGACGAACCTTCCTTTTCTTCCTTCAAAAAGTACACTTAAACATTATATTTATATAAAAACTGAAGCATAATGGAGATGATTACATATTTATATAACAATTGATTGTTTCACATTCCATTTACTTTTATATTGCCACTGACCACATGAGCTAGCTAACGATGGAGAACCTCTTACAAAATAAGCTATTAAATCGAAAGAAAATAAAACCACTGACCAACGGAATAAAATCTGGCTAAACCTAATGTTCATAATAAGGCATATTAGATTGCAGTCTTTTGGAGATCAAGTGAAATTGGTGGCGATCAAAAGCGATAAAAAAATTGATAATGTTGCGTCTGTCTGCGGAGCATCTGTTTAAGATATAAAATGGGAATTATCACCCGTTAATAGGCCAATACGTTGTCGTAAAACGTTTAAGAAAATAAAGAATTTCGGTCGCATCTACTTGGAATGAAATAGAGGCGGGAAGCGGGAGATCGGTGCGGTGGTGGTGGTGGTAGAACACGCAATAAAGTGATGTTTAACATTGCAGGCACGTTGTAAATCATTAGAGCGGTTCATGACATTAAAAAAACGTGGTCATATAGAAGACATTTTCATAAGATTAGCGGGACCGGCGCAAGGCAGTGTCAAAAATCATCACAGTTCAGTGTAGATCCACAAAGTGGTCGAATCCAGAAAATTGTTTTAAATAAAAAAAATAGATGCTTTCAGAGTTGCGTGACATTTTAGAGAAACAAAACTATATCAATAAATACTCTCGTCAAATATAGCTATAACTTTGATTCGTTCAAAAACGGATTAAAATTAAAGAAACAACTCTTAAATTTTATAAAAAATATGACCAGTGATAGTGTGGATAAGCCAAGAGGTATTTTCATCTCCAACCATTTTGTAAACAGAAAGTGAAGTAGATATTTTGATGATGTTATCAAAGATTGAGCGTCAAAAAAGCGAGAAAATGTTCATAGTATAAAGTAGTAAAGTATCCCATATTTCCCACTGCACAGAGCACCTCTGTACATAAGGTGTTAGGGCATAGTCTAACACGGCGGACATCACATTATCTTCGAAAAATTTTTTTTTGATATTATTTGGAAAATATGCCCCTATGGTGGTAGGGCCACGCAGCAGCCTCGGCTGTTGCACGAATGGGCAGGCCCGTCCGGGTAAGTACCACGACTTCACAGAAGATCGGCGTAAAGTGGAAGTATGACAAATACTTTCGCGTTTCGTCTGGTGAGTGAGGTAGCCGGAGCCCAATTTTCAAAAGGTTGTCAACGCATCTGTGACCCTCGGGTGTGGCAGATGCCCATGGGCGGCGGTATTCACTTACCATCAGGTGAACCGTCTGCTCGTTTGACAACTTTTAGCATAAAAAAAAAAAAATTCCTCACGATGTTTTCCTTCACCGCCGAGGACGTGATAAGTCAGCACTTAAGATTAAAAATTTCATCGGAACTCAGGTTGTTCGAGTAAAAAGAATTAAAGGCGAGCGCCCGGACACTGAGCTATCACGGCTCACAGTTAGACATAGTTCAGATTTAAATCATGATGATGATGATGGTGATGAATGAAATTAAATAAATAAACCAATATTTTAGGACACATTTTTACACAACGTTCTCTAGTCCCAAACTAAGCAACGCTTGTACTATGGGTACTAGATAACTGATATACAAAATAAAATTAAACATACTTTTCTTTTGTAAATAAATACATATAATACATATATAAACACGCAGACACTAGAAAAACACCATGTTCATCACGCAATGTTTTTCTAGTAGTGGGGATCGAACCCACACCCTCTGGGGCAGAAGGCAGGTACACTACCCACTACGCCATTCGGGTCGCCGAATTGTAACATTTTTAACAGCATTCTAGTACCTGTAACGTAAACTTGCGCTCTGTGTTTGGATTCAGGTATCATAACAGACAATGAGACAAAACAGTCAGTCTTCCTTTCATAGAAAAATATCTGGTTGGCATGTAATGGTCAAATTACATAATTCACCCGATGTATGATATATACAGCGTGTCTTTACCATCGGGACAATAAATGAACAGACGACTAACGCTACTTGCGAATAATCATAAAAAAATATTAACGTTAAAAAGAATCCATAATTAAAAAAAATATTTTTCAAACAAAGAGCTTGAGTAGTCATCGAGTCCGTAATTAAGAGCAGCACTCTAATTGCTGCACTTTTAAAATAAATTGTGCAAGACAAATTGGGGCCACGAGTTTTGACTCTCGTCCGCATATATGATCTTTATAATGAACAAACAAAACATCTGATTTCGAATCGATAACAACTCTAAAGTTATTTTTTCACGCGCAAAATTAGCAGAAATTACTTAATATTAAATTTATAGAGTTATCTGATGTTTTCTTTGTATGTTATACTTTTTATTCATAACTAACAGTCATGATGAATATCTTTAATTGTAATAGCAATTAAACAATACCCTTTCTACAATTGTTCCTTAGAATCTTGCTTTATAAATTTAATGTAATAGCTACATTATGTTCACATACAAATGCGTATTTAAGAATCATAACCTCATTCGAGCGGAACTAATGGAAGAATAACCGTTATAAATCAATAAAGTACACATAACTTAGAAGGGCTCCGTTTTTCAAGAGGGCCCGGTCGATTTTGATAGACTGCGTTCATCGCCCGGCGAGCAACAGATGGGCTGGGCGGTCCATTAATACTGATTTAGGGCCGGTTTTTTATCTACATTCTCCCCGTAACAGATATAAGCTGTCCTAGCGAGTGCAGCGCTGAGTTATTGTTGTCCTACGCCGCATCTATCGATGTCGCGTAGGACAACAATAAGTCACCGTTGTACGCTTCAGTGCGTACGCCATTCGCAGTCTGCGGCTTCCCCGGTGGTGGGTCTATATATAGAAACGCATTAGGCATGTTCCGGCGGGCGTCGATACTGATTTAACAGATGAGTTGTACCGGCGTATTGGTAACGCTTACGCGTACCTTACTCCGCCTCTTTGGAAAATGAAACGGACAGAAAGTCAGAAACAATGTAATTAATTTTACTGTACAAAAAGAAAATAAAAGTTTGGAATTAGAATAGATAAGAGGTGATAAGATAACTACTATTCCCTACTAATAACCCTACTCTAGACTCAATACAAAAGCATTGGAAGATTATTGGTGACCCTGATAAGAAACTGTTAAAGCAGCCTTGGGACATAGATACTATGAAGCCTTTGAGAGAGACTCGTTGTTAATCGCGTGTTAAATTTCGGAGACTCAATTTCGTACAAACCTTGGATAGCGCAAGGAGTGCCTCAAACGTTTTAAAATAACCACAAATGCCCATGTGACGATACCACCTCCCAAAACTTCCAACACCTCATCCGATTCTGCCCCATATTTGCCAACACTAGGGCAGATCACGACATATCATGTCAAAACTTTAACCTGCTAGTAGTTTGAATTGCTATTAGTATTCCATATACACGAGCAAACTAAGTTGAAATCCCGATGCAGGCACCATTGAAATTGTTAATTTTAAGTGCTGACTTATCATGTGCACAGCGGTGAAGGAAAACATCGTGAGGAAACGAGCATATTTTCGAAATAACAACAAAGAAGAATATTTCTAAGAAATGTGAAGTCCGCCAATCCGCAGTGGGGTCGACTATGCCCTAATATCAACTGGACGTTGGAGGCCTTTGTCCAGCAGTAGGATATATAGTGGGATGTATAGGCTTTTACTTTATTACGGAAGAGGGTCACGTGGTGGACTATGCACTCATACCCTCTGTAGATAGAAGGCCCAGCAGTGTGACATATAATTACAGCCTGTTGCTACTTTACATATAGAGTTCCAACTGTGGTAGGGCCACGCAACAGTCCTCGCTCTTGCAGGAATGAGCAGGTCCGTCCGGGTAAGTACCACGACCTCACAGAAGACCAGCGTGCAGTGGAAGTGTTACTTCTGCGTTTCGTCTAGTGAATGAGGTAGCTGGGCCCACTTTATTAAAAGATGGCCACGCATCTGCAACCCTACTAGTCTATGGGCGGCGGTTATCACCTAACATCAGGTGAACGTAGCACGTTTATCTCCGTCTCACATCAAAAATTAAGGTATAGCTTGTAAAAGCTTGTTAATAAATCTCGTACTTTCGTGCATATGTACTCGTGCTCATCCACGTGTAAAGTATAATCCCGCAGTGCTTGTGGGGCTTCCCCGGCACTCCACGGCCGCTGCGCCGATATGGGCACGCCATAATCCCGTTCTGTTCACGGCAGCCTAATAGGATGCGGTCGTAGCTAATGACACGGTCAAGTTGCTAGCGATGTGAGCGCGGGCCACTGTGAAATTTATTATTATAATTACTATATAAATTTGTAAAACACACCTATATCATGTGATGATACTCAATGAAAATACCATACAAAAAATATACAGCGTGTCGTTACCACCGCGACAATCATAAAGAATCCATAATTAAAAAAAATATTTTTAATCACACTAATTAAGTAAAAAAGAAACAAAATTTGTAACATCCTATACAATTACAACTGACTGATTCATACATTCAGAGACTTTCATTCGTTGCCACAGCGTCGCATTTCAAGCCTCTCCTTCTAACAGTAGGTTTTGTCTCATTTAAATTCATTCAACATATTCATATGCTTTGTGACCTTTACAATTGAACTTTACGTCACAGTTTTATACGTAAGGGTGTTCTAAATTTTTTTGTTTTGGAAAATTTTATAACACGGTAAATATTGATGTTTAAAGAATGTAAATGTTTAATACAATTTTAAAAAG